TTTTGCGTGACTTATGTGGCAACACAAGTATGATCCTCAGCTCTCAGCATATCAGTCTTGATTACCGCAACGCTAAATAAATGTGATTATTTTTGGTCTTGACAAATCAACCTTGCCTTCTTCATGTGTTTTCATCATGTTCTTATTATACTATTGAGATAATTTCTCAGCATTGTTCTGATCATGTTATATTTTTCTTTGCATTCCATGTTGATTACTTGCTTTCAGAAGCAATAACTATTACCTAATTGTTTTACACCTTTTAAGCCTTTTCTCTTCAACTACCAGTTTTGCAATGCTGCTGTTTTGTAATGACAGCTACTACCATCAGTCAGCTTATGTTGCAGTGCTCCAGCCTCTACTTTTAATTTTTTAATGGCATCTTTATGTCTATCATATGCCTTCTCACACCACTGGGATCAAGACTCCATGCTATTTCACTGTTCCACCACCTTCAGATCTCTGATTCAGCACTCCTCCATGACATGTTTAAACTTCACAACAGTTTAGGCTGCTGATGCAGACATTACTTCCTATAATTTTCAAGGATATTTTTCCTTGTTGTCCTTGTCAGACTGTATATATCTATTTTCTTCTATTATTTGCTTAGATTGCAATTTAATTGCATCAAGAGGTGTCTTCCAACATTGTGCTCTGCTAGTGGTGTCCTGATATATCATTGACACACTTGGACTTCATAGAAACACATGTAGTCTCATTGTCAGCGTAGGCAGTAGTAGGTGGAACAGACTGGTGAGTCACTCACCTGTTATCCATCCCTGGGTACTGCAGCTTCATGTATACCTACACTTGATCAAGAATTTAAACACAGATGCATCCACGTTATCTTCAAATTAGCTAGATGAAAAACTGCCAGAGAACAGATGAACAAAAGCAGCAGATTTGCTATGTCACTTCAGTAGGTACATAGATTTGCATCAGCCTAAGCTGCTGGGGATTCACTGCTGCATCTAGCCAAGGAGCACTTCTTGAAATATGTATCTTTTACAGCAAGCTTCATGTGTCAAGAGAAACTGCAGATCTGATAATAAAAACAGGCTGCTTTGAATAAAAGGAAGTGGATGAGGGAGAGTGTCCCACCTTTCATAAAGGTGCTCTTCACAACTTTTTACACCTATACCTATGAGGAACGTTAAAAAAAAACCCAAACCAAATAACAACAACAACAACAAAATCTTAAATGATCCAGTTATTTGCTGAATATGTCCCTGGATCTTTAGATGCAACTCATCTTCTCTTACTTTATCTGAAAGAAGGGCTGAATTCTTAAGCCCGCATTTACTAAAGATATCAATAGAAAAGTTATATTTGAGTTTCTTTTAATTTTAAAAAAGATGTGTTCTCCATTGCAATAGAGCAATTCTTTGGAAACTGTATAATTAACTTCAAGAAGATAGATTTCGTTAAACTCGAAGAACTAGTAGGCAAAAACTCATGGGAAACAAGTTAAGAGAAAAAAAAAAAAGAGTTAAGGTTAAGGGCTGGCAATTTCTTTAAGTAATGACATTAAGAGTGCAAGCACAAATTATCCTAATGCAGAATACCATGTGTAGTAAGAAGCTAATTTCACTATGTCATGAACACTATTACATTGGTAGTAAGGGGCTGAGGGGAATAAGGCATGAAGGGAGAAATATGTCAAAATGGTGCTGAGAAGACTGAAGTGGTAAATGCCGTTTTTGCATTTTCCTTGACTAAAAAGGTCTTTTTCAACAGACAGCTACCATCATAAATACCAAAGAGTAAAATCTCCATCTACATTAGAGATCTACATAAGCTATATATTTTGAAATTGTCTAAGACTAATGAATTTCTTTGTAAAGCATTTAGAGAACTGACTGTAACAATTTCTAACAAAAACCACTGACAATTTTCAGAGTTCATGGAGAACAGATATGGTCCAAAAGACTGAAGATGAACAAACGTATAGCAAGATTTAAAGAAAGAATAAAGGAAATGCTGGGGAGTTAGACACCAGCAAGGATGAAATTTCGGGAAAAATATAGTAACAAATAATCAAATTGTAATTTAGATATCTGTATGATGACAAGAAGATATAAAACAGTTTAGAATTTTTAAATTTAATTTAAGGGCTCCATGAGAGAATAATAGGCTTTGTGGATGAAGGAAAAGCAGAAGATGTCATATTGTCACTTTAGCAAAGTTTGACATTTTTAGATGATATTCCTAAAAATAAGTTAGAAAAAAAACTGACAGACTCAGATTTTGATGAGAGTATAAAGCTAGAGTATTTGGTAACCACTAAGAGTATTAATTATTGGTTCTTTGTCAAAATGGAGGTCTCTTGGGATGACTACTACTCAAAGTTTCTCTTAAGCACTTGCACACCAGAATATACCTATGAAGTCTGTAGATGACACCAAACTGGGAGAGGATGAGAGAACACCGAAGAACAAGGTTAGAATTTAAGATGATCATGTGAACTTAAGAAATAGCACACTGCATGCTCTTCAGTAAAGACGTGAAATGTGTTATAGGTAGGCAGGCTGCACATGCAGAAGACTGGCTAATAGTTCTGAAGGGAATGATTTGAGTTTGAGAAGAAAATTTGATCTTAAGTTGAACGTTAATGAATCTGGTTATGTTGTTGGGAAAAACAGACAAGTACCCTACTAGAATACATACACACACACACATATATACACATGTATACACACAGAAATATAACATACTAAACACAGCAGGAAGTTCTCTGTTTTTTGTTTTTTTTTTTTTTTTTTTTTTTTTTTTTTTTTTTTTTTCCTGCCCAGTTTCAGGCAATAATAAATATGCTCAAAAAAATGTGGATCAAGAGTAAAGAGTTCAAAGTAATAAAATGCAACCTGTGGAGAAAGGTTGAATAATTTAAGATAGCTTAGTCTAGAGCAAAAGAACCTAGAAAACATATATCAAACCATAACAACAAAAAGAATAATCAGTTCCTCATATCTTTGCATGACTATGATATGAAGTAAGGAGCTTAAACTGAAGCATGATGACAAAAATCTCATAGGATGGAAAACAAAGCATAGGAATAGGTTTGGAAAGGCTATGAGATAGACAACTCTGTAAGTCTTTAAGAATGGTAGGTTAGACAAATACTGATCAAGAATAATATAGGCATGCCAAACACCTTTGGGAAGGAGATGAATGAGGTAACATCCAAAGGTATCATGCTGCCTAGTTTTGCCTTAATGACTGAGGAAACCAAAAATTAATGAGACATCTATCATATTCAAAGTGTTTCAGATTATTACATATTACTTTTCTGAAGTCTCTTATGGTGCCACTGCTCAATGTTTACTACACTGAAGTAGAAGAATAACGTACTAGTAAAGAAGGACCTAAGTCTGGTTTCACCCTGCTCAGGCAGAGAGCGCAGATGGACAGGACTCTGTAAGAAGGTAGTTTGAACTTTCCTTTACAGGCAAATGATCTGGTATCTAATACTGAGTCATTTACTATAGAATGTCTATCCATTCTTTGAGTGTAGTAGCTAGTACATAATATTTGGGCTCGTTTTCTCCTGTCTGACATATATTTCTTTCATGCATAGAGCACAGCTGTAGAACCCAGAATATGCTATCACCTGGTAGCAGCAATCTAATCTGAGAACATGGAGTTCCAGTTCCTGCTCCAGTTAAAACATTTTAGGAGTAGGAGGAGTGGATGTCCAGTCCACAGAGGAGCTGGATAAGGAAAAAAGGATCTTGAATTTCTTGCTCCCTCATGGGTGACAGTTCCTGGTAAAATAGACTACTGGGCAAAAGGGGACTGCAAGGCATCTTCTGTTTCACATTCTATCTCCCTTTGTGGTGTTTTGGGGTAGCTGGGAAACACCTACCAGAGCAAAACACATGGCTGGAAGAGTCCCTGGTTTACTCCTTTAAGGGTGTATACGAGCTAGATGTCAGGCCATGGTCAACACCATCTGGGCAGAGTGTGTTGAGACAGACTTGGGGCAATTAAGATTTCACATGAGATTTCAGGCACATTCAGAGTCCAGAAGAACAGTTTAGTGGCAGTACTGAGGACTCAGATTTCACACTTAGAATTATATCTGCTGAAATACTTTGGCACTTCTAGCCTTTGCCTGATTTTTCCAACTCCAGTTGTACCATGATATATTTTATTCTCCTTTAAGTAACTACCCTGCAAGGATATTTCAATATCACTAATTCAGTGCAGGTCCTGAGAAGTACCATAAATAACAGATGATATAAAAAATTGAATATTTTATATTTTGCATAGTTTTATTATTTGATATTAGTTGACCTTTAGGTACAGACTCATTCAAGCTTCTTTAAATAACTGCACTTTAGATATTATTAAATGAGAAGGGAAAAAAAAAACCAAACTCTTAAATTTAAAAGAATGCTATTAAGAATGAGAAGTGTTCAGTAGATGGAAAACACCAAGATTAAGGCTGCCTTTAGATATGTATTACAATAATAGACAATACATACAAGATTACATTTACTTTATAGGTGACCCCTTCCCACTTCAGCTCAAGGCATGATTTGTGTTTGTTTCATATACAGAATTTCAGTATTTTATAGTGTCTTCTTACCATGTATTCCATACAGTATTCAAACCTTTCTCTGAAGTCAGAGTTATTATTTTCCTCATGAGTTTTTCTGTGGTGCTTCTTTCAGTGTCTGAGGGCTTCACAAATGGTAGTCAGACTTCTGAGTGATATCTGGCATGAGCACAACCCAGCAGGAGGACCAGAAACAAGGCACAAAGACTTTAAAAAATAACAATATATCCTCTAGATGTGGATATTATTGCAACAATTTGGGCTTATTGTAATGTCATTTTTTAGAGACCTCATTAAATAAAATCTCCTTTGTTCAAAGTAAGTCAGCTTACTGAGTAAGTCTGGTGGGTTTCAGCTGTTTCAAGGAGTTCCCAAAACTTCTACAAATGAGACCACAAATTTTAACCAAAGACTCAAGACAAAGAATAGGACAACCAGATAAAAGCTGTTAAAAATGTTATGTTATTTATTCCTGATACTCTTGGGAACTGTGTTTTCAGGCATGGACAGTAAATACTCCAGGACAGAACTGCTTTAACAATGACACCATCCTCTCATTCTCTCTGTCTATTCATTGTATCTTCCATGCCCTGCAAGACATGGGATATCAGCTATTTGCTTCTCATTTCATACTCCCGAAGAGCTGATTCATGCAGTTAAAAACTGCGAGCCAACATCCTATTCATTTAATGGCTGTTTAGCAGCTGTTCACATTATACCATCGCAGGCTTGCAAACATACACTCACAGAGCATCCTTTCACAGATCCCAGTATAATTCCTCCTCCCTAAGACTCCTTGTTCCACTTTTCCTGGTGTCTGGCTTTTGCTTCCTCTGTCTTGGTGCATGTTTCTCTATGACTCGGCATGGCCATTATGGCACAGGCTGGGCAGTGATTGCCTAGGAAGCCACTCTGCAGAGAAGGTTCTGGGGGTCCTGGAGGTGTTCATGAGTCAGCAGTGTGCCCTTGCAGCAATGAACATCAACCACATGCTGGGATGCATTTACAAGAGCATAGCCAGTGGGTCCAGGGAAAAGTTTACCCCTACCTATTCAGCAGTTGTCAAGCCACATCTGGTGTATTGTGTCCTGGCTTGGGCCCTCCAGAACAAGGAGACTGGCAAAGAGAGTGAGGTCAGTGAAGGGCTACTAAAATTAGGAGAGGCTGAAGTAACTGGGTTTGTTTAGGCTGGAGAAGAGAAGGCTAAGCAGAGGCAGATCTAATCACTGTCTTCATTCAGGAAGAGCCTGTCTTGCATTAGGAAGAGTGTCACCAGCAGGTTGAGGGGGGTCTTCCTCCCGCTCTGTGCTAGGCAGAAACCCAAAAAAGAAAATTTCAATCCAAGTATTTGTCATTAGTCAGAAGTAGCTAAAAACAGGTGATTATAATCACTGTCAAGTAAGGAGGAATTTTTGTCCCAAATCATGCCAAGAAACCAAACTTGGTGTCTTTTTACAAGTATTTGCCTCTCCTCCTCCATTCTCTGTGGTCTTTGTATGTTCTTGCATACAAGTGAGAAGTTACTAGTGTTGCAGAAACTCTCAAATAAATAACAATAAAAATAAAAGTTATTTTTCAACACAATTAACCAACACTCTGCAAACATACAAACGGCAGGTTCAAATGTCCATGAGAGTAGAACAAAACTATTACCAAACAAACTCCTAGGGTTTAATGACACCCAAAACATTCAATCACTCATCAAAAAAAAAAAGGACTTTCAACCTTAGGGAACTTCTTAGGGCAGCATCCCAACCCATAGGAACCTCAAGGAGTTTCCTTAGTCAGAGTCCCAGCCCAAGGGGAGATCCCGTACCTGCAGCACGGTGCTCCAGGAGGGACTACCTCAAAGTGGCTCCCCCAAGGGACTCCATTTATACCCGAGCCAAATCTGACCTGTGGTCAATACCAGCCCCTATTGGCCGAGGACCCCAACTACTGTAAAGCCCTGAGAACAAGGGCATAGGAAAGGTTCAACAGCCAGGAAGCCACATTTTCATCGGGTGGGTGCACCTGCCACAACTAGTCACAAGTTACTAAAACAGGGACTGAGACAACCTGTGGTGCCTACATTCACTCCTCAGGCAACTGATGCTGGGCACTCCCAAAAGGCAAATTAATGAATGGGATGGATCTTTCCCTGACACAATCTATACCTGTTAGGTTTATATAAATTTTGGTCATGCTTTGTCTCAGCTTCCTGTTGTGTCAAAAGCAATAAAAGAGAAAAGAGATAGAAAAAAAAACCAACCAAACAAACCCAACCCTGAATCTTCTCCAAACAAGGAAAGGCATGTGCAGTCACTTTTCTGAAGCTATCGATTCCTTAGCCCACATCACAAGCACTGACAGTGAAAAGCTGCAGAATGCAGAAAGCCCTCCTGAATTTCAAACTTTCAATCTCAATGAGGCCTTAGACATACTTTTATCTTCAGTGAGGGAATGTTTTTCAAGACATAATTATGGAAAAACTACTGTACTGCCCTTAGAAACCTGGAAAACCCCGAGAGTCCTATGTGCACTGCTATAGAAACCTCTAAACTGCACATGAGGAAAGTTTGGATGCTACCTGTGTTTCCTGCTCATGAACAAACCAAAATGTTGCAACCCATTTTTATTTCAAGGTTGATTTTCCTTCCATTGATGAACAAGGGTACTTAAGCCAGTGATGTCAATGAGAGAACAACATGGATTTTGTGCCATCTCCTCCAAAATTTCTGCTCCATCCACCATCCAAATTGATCCTGTTGTATTCAGAAGTATTTTTCCTTTTAGAGCTCTGTGCTGTATAATTGTGTAGTAAATCTTGTGCAGGATATTTGTAGCTATGCCTCAGGCAAAATTCCTGGAGTACTGAGATGACTTAACCTGGACTCCTGAATAGATCAGTGTCGCATTGACAATACTGCAGTCTTAGCACTTCATATGGATTAATGAGCTCCAGATTTATTTACACTCCTCAGAGTGTTGTTTTGGGTTTTTTATAGACAGCATCTGTAATGTTTGATGCACTCTTGCAAAACAGTTCTCACAATTCTATGGACTAGAAAACAATGGAGATTTTTGCAAAACTGGATGCCACATAAATCAAATAAATATTGCAGTAAGTAGCATCCATGGCTGTACACATGGTTTCTTCGTAGAAGTAAAAAACTCATGCTTCAACACTTCTGAAATTTCTATCCAAGGAAGCGTATTTATGATGAGGAAAGGGTGAAGCCTCTGCAAAATTGATACCTCTTAAAAGTACAAGGTACAGTCCCATTAGGGACTAAAAAAAGGAATCTACAATGCAGACTTTAAGCCACTAGCAAGTGTAATGTTATATACTCTCAGTGGTCTATTTTGTTTAGAGCAAGAGCCCTAAATCTAGCATAGCACAGAGTTTCCAAGCACCAATATACTCAAGCCAGAAGGAGGTGATCAAAACTATAGATATACTTGCACAGAAATTGTCTTTGCTTGACTCTTCTTCTCAGATGAAAATCAATATTCCTTGCACTATTTCTACCCTTGTGCATTGTTCCTCCCAGGATGGTTAGTGCTGCCAGTGGCAATGCACGCTTATTGCTACTTTGCTTGTTAGGAATTTGCAAGGCAGGTGATGGGTCTCATAGTAAAACCTATGCAGAGAGCTAGACTCAGTGGGTCAACCAGAAATATCTAGAGGTAGCCTATGTAAGTGGATACCTCTATTATTTTGATTTTCACTTACTATTCTGAATTGAAAATTTTGCAAAAAGGCAATAATAACACACAGCTTTAAAATCAATGAGCAAATCAGCAAATCATTGTAATTATAGTGCAAAATAATATGTCTCAAATAAAGGCTAGCAGAAGATTTTCTATTATGTTCCAGCATACTAAAAGAGGAATTCCTCAGGGAACTATCAGAGAAGAGTTTTATTTTAGCATTCCAGTGGATAAGGACTTCTCATTTACGTTTTTTTTTTCTTGTACACTGGCAATAAATATACATATGAAACTGTTACCATTATGACAGCCCTTAAAGTACACTTATTTGAAACTATCTAACAAAGAGATGTCACATCTTTCATGACAATTACCTCAACATAGAAAAATAGTGTTAGCAGAATAAAAATTTTAATATTTAAGCAGATTATGCAGTGTTTGAACAACACAGTTAACAAACTGGTTATTAAACTTTTATTCAGAAGTATGAAAAATTCACTGTGCATTGTTTCTACTATTCAATTTCTCTTTGACTGACAATATGGAATTTGGCTCATGCAGTAAAAACCAGACTCAAACAATGTAGTTTATAAATGGCAGGTTTAAATAGAGGGTGCAAAAAAAGTCAATGTAAAGTGAATTTCTGGACACGGATTACATTACAAAATTCTAAAATAAAATGTACAGTTGAAAGATATGTTTTAGTTATCCACAGACACAGAGCAGTAACAATGATGCCAAATATAATTTCAGAGCTTTTTCACCGTGTCAGACTTCCTCTTTCTTCCCCACATATTGTACTAACAGGAATACAAATAAGCTTAGACTTGTGCTTGATATGCCATACTATTTTTCACCTTCTTTTAAATTTAAGTTTAACTCTGATTTTCCTATGTTTAGAATACTTGCTTTGGGGATAATGTTGTGACTATGTAGTTATCTTCCTTAAATTAGCCTAAAGGTGCACTTGGAAATAATGTACTTTAAAATTATGCCTAGTTTAGCTATGTAAAAATCAAGCTAATCAAGAAAAATCAGTATTTCTTATGAACAGTAAAAAATAAACCAAAGGAACCACTACTGTGGGTTTTTTCTTATCCTTCAAGATGTGAAGTCTCAAACTTAATTTTGGTTCTGATTTATCTCTGACTGGCTCCTTCGTACTTTAGGGTTTTTTCAACTTTGTGGACAGAAGTTCTGGCTTCTTCCTGAAACAACGAACAGCATAAGACAGAAAGATCATATTGCCCAGGAAAACAGCTCTTACTACCTGGTAATATACGACAGATTGTCATTGCTACCTGCACTTCCCAATATTTTCCTGGATATATACCTTAAGCCCTCTTCTTCTACACATTTAATTTCCTGGTCGTTATAAACTCACATACAGATATACCACACGCCCCAGTCTCTGGCCCTCTCCTAGTCCCTATGAATAGGCCTTATAGAATAAATAGTTTCCATTTTTTTTTCTAATAGATTTTTACTAAAACTTGTGACACATATGTTCATACTCAGGAAAGCCAAAGTGAAGGGCTTATAGTTTGTCCTCCACATAATTAACTGAGAGAAAACATGTGGTTCTAGAGAAAGGGTGCTGGAACCTGAGTAAGAAACTATTTTGGGAAACACAAGAGATGGATTCAGATCCACTTATGTCTATAATTGTGTCCAAGTATCTGCCTCTACAACCACCATCATATCATCTGCTACAAAAGGATAAAGGATTAAATCAGGACTGGGTAATTTTACACATCTTCTGATAAACAGAAAGGTAGATACAAGTAGGGGCAAGTAACTAGAGTTTGGTTTTACTGTTGATTTTTTTGTTTTTTTGTAGGGAGTAGAGGAGTATCATTGGCAGATAAATAATAATAAAAAAAAAAGGACAAAAGGAAAACGAGGAGGTGGATTTTGATCTGAACAAACCTATTCTTTAATTTTAAATACATTTGCAATAAACCACATGTAAATGAAACTCCAGAAAGTTGTCTGTAGTCCCCATTTATTCCCCAACAGACAGGCACAGTTCCTAAGGTACATACTCTGTTCAGAAAGCAGAGGCTGAACCTCTGCTCTGATTCGGACAGAGTAGACTGAAATCAGTAGGCACCTCCCAGCACTGCCTGCAAAGATGTGGAATCAATCTCTCGTTTTCTCACATTTGGTCACTGTTCCATTTGGTAAAACAAGAGAAGGTGCCGACATCTTATCCCAGTCCTTACTGTTCTGCAGGTAGCACCGCTCTGTCTATATCAAGTCACATGTAATTCCAATCACGGAAAGGATCTGAAAAGGATCTCACAAAAGAAAAAGACTGGTGGTCAATGCCCCCTAAGACCCTGGTTTGGGCACGGAGGGGTCACACAATAGGAGACTCTGGACCTTCATATCATAGAATCATAGAATGGTTTGGGTTGGAAGGGACCTCTAAGATTATCTAGTCCCAACACCCCCAGCCATGGGCAGGGCCCCCTTCCCCCAGCCCAGGTTGCTCCCAGCCCCGTCCAACCTGGCCTTGAACCCTTCCAGGGAGGGGGCAGCCACAGCTCCTCTGGGCAACCTGTGCCAGTGTCTCACCACCCTCACACAAAATAATTTCTTCCTTGTAGCTA